TATTACATTTAATACCTTTCGAAATGCACAACAAAATTCATTAGAAGTAACTGTTTAAGGTCAAGTAGGATGAAAATAAATAATATCTTAAAAAATAAAATACGGGCAATTGACATGCATTAGATAATTGTAAATGATCACAATGAGGATAAAAGTATGTTCAACTCCTTGTAGTTACGCTCAGTTTGGGGGCAAGATTTTTCGTTACACGTAAACTCGGACAAACATTCATTCACTTCGACCCAACTGCACCCTGATTGTTTTCTCAATCCACATTCCTCCTCTTGCAATACTGTGTTTGATAAGAGAAGAAACAAAGAGGCGGAAATTAACCCAACATTTAATATGATAAGAATATAAGCTCAGGTCATACTTATCATTTATATAGATTTGGAATCTCTTAGACACTATCTTAAATAGGAGGATGGGTTTTCAGTTAGCGTGTCACTTGATGCCTTTATTTCTTATAAGTCATATAATGTAAATAATCACAATTTGGCCAAAAGGCATCTATAACTCTTTGTAGTTATGTCCGATCTGGGGGTAAGATTTGTCGTTACACACAAACTGAGAGAAACATTCATTCACTTCGATACAGAAATTCAGAACCGGAGAGAACACATTCATTCACTTCGATACACAAACTGAGAGAAACATTCATTCACTTCGGAGAGAATACTTCCTTTTTTATTGAAGCAATTTTTTCATTGTTCTCTAAGAACCGGAGAGAACACATTGGCCAACAATTTCTACATTTTAGCAACACCTTTAGCAATGAAGTTTTCCCTCCTTTCAGCATTTGCAATGTCTTGCATGAACTATTCTAGCCTAAAGAAGTCATGAGCCAACTTAGCATCACTCTGTTGTTGTTTTGCCACAAGTATAGTTCATTATCTTTTTCGGTCCATCTCTTCAAGCTTACTTCACCCAGTTCATTTACCCTCTTGTGGATATAAATTGTTCTATGCTTCAATTTTAAAGTATTTAATCGATTAAAGTATTTATTCAGGTACTTGAACTTCAAGTGTCCAACACAATTATATTTTCGATGTAATAAAATACCAGAAATGATAGTTAAGTTATGTCTGCCATTTCAATAACCCCTAAATCTTTACACATCAAGATAAACCAAGATTGATCCACAGAATAACCGGAACATATGATTTCAACTTACCAAATCTTTATACATGGATGGATTGGTCAGAACTTCCCAAAATTGCTTTCTTGGCACCCTCAAACAAACTATTCGTTTGGTGTAATGGATATTATGTCTTCCCAAGTTTAATTTCACAGTGGACTACTATATCCAAAAATATTCTAATTGTTCTCAAATTATTTCTGAAAGTAACATGCCTAAGAAAACCTCAGCCATATAAATATACACAAAATTAGTTGCAAAGCATTCCAGAAAAATTAGGTAATGGGAATAATCATCTGGGCAGTTTTGTTCACACCATTAACACTTTGATTTTGATAGTTTATGTAATTACAGAACCCCCCATTTTTATCATTTTTTTTAAATTGTGTTGCAGTTGAAGATTGCATGTCCATACTATAAATAGAAATCGGAAAACGGAAACTTGGGACACCCTCTATCCATAAAATAAGAATATGAATGGTTTAAAACACAGTAGCGGGCCGGTTCGGTTCCGGGCCGGTTGGCCCGACCCGAGTCCACCCCTAGGTGAAACCCATTATTATATATAGAGTAACAAAATGCAATCAGTTCTTGCCGCCCAAAATGCCACAAATTACAGGGCAAAATTGGTAAAAACAACCTGTCACGCCAGTTACTTCCCTCCCATCCATAGCATTAACTGTGAGAGACGTTCCAAGTTGACAATATATGGAAACAATACAAAGGAAGAAAATAAAATTGAATAATTTATTCTCTAAGGCAACATATATGGCTGCACCTGTAGCATTACTTTTATAGATCATTCCAACTTCCAAGCACACCATATATGGTAACCTACAAATGATGGAAAGAAATAAATTGTAGTAATTCAATTCTGTGTGACAATTAAAGTATGAACAATTAGCATTATTTGGGTGAACGTTTCAACTACATCATATATGTCAAGAATACAAATGATGGAAGGAAATAAAACTGAACTAATTCGTAATCAGTATGACCACACAAGTAGCACTGTAGCATCACAATTTGTGCCCTAATATTGCTCCTAATATTGCTGAGACATATGCTACATATTTATTTAACAAATGTTCATATATACAGACTATAAATAACCACACATTTGTTTATTCAACTCATTCTAAAAAACAACTACAAGAATTTTATTGCTGGAGGGAGCGGCCACTTTCTCTCAACCATGGCGCTCAAAACTGTTGATCTTGATGAAATTCAACCTGGAAGCATCGAATGGAGAGTTCGTGTACGTGTCATACGGTTGTAGCAAGTTACGGAGTACGGAAAGCTGGAAAACGTGACGACGATCGAGATGATTTTACTAGACCAGAAGGTGATTTCAATTGTATTTCAAATTTGTCCTCACGATTTCATTTGTGTGATTACATATTGTGTAAATTAAACGAATTGTCAAATTTAATTTAGAATTTTTTTCGTAATTTAATAATTATTTTATTCAAATTTGCTTTACTATATACATCTCTATAATTGAATGATGTCGGATTTATCTCAACCTAATAATCAAATAATTTTTCTATATTCCTTTAAAAAGGATTTCTCTAAATCAGATAATAATTTCAGTATTTTTAAAATTTAGCTTCGTTATTGAATAATTTGTGTAAGTATATACTTTGTGCAAATTAACAAATTTTTTAAGTTCATTTCAGAAATTCATTTAGTAAACACATCTCCATAATAGAATAATTTCATATTTATCTATAAATCAGAAGATTATTTCAGTGTGTTTCAAAAATTATCTTTGCAATTGAATATTTTGTGTAATTATACACTTTGTGTAAATTAAACAAAGACAACAATTTTAATTCAAAATATATTAATAATTAAATAATTAATTATTTCGAATTTAATTTATTACATGCATCTCCATAATAGAATAATTCCAGCTTTATGTCAACCTAATAAATAAATATTTTTTTCTATTTTTCTGAAGAAAAAAAAGATGGCTCCAAATCAAAAGATAATTTAAGTGACTCAAAATTTAGTTTCGTACTTGAATAGTTTAGAGTCAGCCAACAAATGTTAATGACTCAAATCATGCTTTTGATCTCGAAAATTTAACATATACTAATTGTTAATGTGCAGAAAATCTGAATGCATGCCACAATAACAAAGTTTTGATCCCGAAGTTTGAACAACTAATCAAAGAAGGATGTGCGTAGACTCAAAGACAAAAAGACACACTACTCACAAGTACCGTCTCAACTTCCTAGGAGTGACCAGGTGCAGAGAACTACGCCTTAGTAGTGTGCCTATGCATCATTTTCAATATGCTAGCTTTAAAGACATTTTGGACGGAAAACACAAGAATATGATTTTTGGTATGTTTTTTCATATACAGACATAACATTTATTAAATTAATTTGTATACAACATCACATACATGCACTACAAAAAAACTCGCGTTTTATCACGGATTTTTGTCACGGATTACGGCCGTGACAAAGTTGTCACGGGCTTTGTCACGGAATATTGGGATTTGTCACGAAAATGTGTTGTCACAGATAGGTCTGTGACAAAATCCGTGACAAAGTATTGTCACGGGTTTGGTCCGTGACAAATTTACTCAAGCGACCGGTTTTTTACTCCGGCGAAAACTTTTTTTGCTCCCGGGCATTTGTCACGGACAGATTCGTGACAAATCCGTGACGGATTTCAAAAAAAAACTTTGTCACGGATCCATCCGTGACAAAATCCGTGACAAACCTCAATTATTGATTTTCCAGCGGTAACCTTTAATAGTACAGTACGAAAAAGGGGGTTGTCACGGATAAATTCGTGACAAATCCGTGACAAATTTTTTTATATATCCCAACCCCTTCGTCCATTACAATTGCAAGAACAACACTTATCCCTTATCGGTTCAAAAATCCGTAGATTCGAGTGATGTAGTATCGGTTTAAAGATTGAATGATGTAATCTGTCAGTTCATCATTTTTCCTGTTTATGCAGATAAGGTATGTCATTTTAACTAATTTCTTTTAATTATGTAATAAGTTATTAGCTTAGTGAGGTTAGTTGTTCATCATTTATTTAAACTATTAACGTAATTTTAACGTAATTTAGTGAGGTCATGTTAATTTTCATATTATTAACAATTTAAAGGACGGAGGTAGTATTAAACTATTAACGTAATTTAGTTAAATTTAAATATAAATATTAATTAGTTAATTGAAATGAGTTTATATCACCAATGATTAGGACGGTTTGTTTATTAGCAAATATTGTTATTAATGCATAATTTAGGATTTGTAATGATTTAAGTTAGCTAGCTTATAATTATTATAGCTTAATTAGTGACTTGTAGTGATTTAAGTTAGCTAGCTTAGGTTATTATCACCCATTATTGTTTATTAACTATTATTGTTAATGCATAATATAGGATTGAAACTTTATTAATTAGTTTAGTGTGAATTATTATTGTGAATTAATGAGATAATATTTAACAATAATATTAGTTAAATGTAAATTAATTAACTAAGTTAAAACATTGAACTTTAATGAAATGGGTTTAGAATTTGAGTGATAATATTAGTTAGATTTAAATATTAGTTAATTGAAATGGGTTTATAACCAATGATGATTAGGTTTGTTTATTAGCAATAATTATTGTTAATGCATAATTTAGGATTTGTAGTGATTTAAGTAAGGATTCAAACTTTATTAGTTAAATGTGAATTATATATTATTGTGAATTAATGATATTTAACAATATTAGTTAAATGGAAATTAAGTAATTAATAAGTTAAATTAGTTAACTTTAGTATTGTGAATAAATGCCATTAACGTAATAACTTTAATTAGTATTATATGTTAGTTAATTATTTAATGTGTACTATTAGATTTTCATATGTTTAGTATTGTGAATAAATGCCATTAACGTAATAATTTAGTGTGTTTGGTGCACAAATTCTAATATTGTGAATTAGTTAATAATTGAAACGATTAATGCCATTAACATATTACTATTAGTTAATTAGTAATTTTAATTGAAATTTAATATATTAATGTTACTTGAGTGAAATATTAGTAAATTATTAATTCCGGTCATTAACATATTTATTTTAGTTAATTAATAATATTAATAGTGAACTTGAGTGAAATTTAACATATTAATGTTTCTAAATATGAATTAGTCATGATTGAAAGGTTAGATAATTCAAATTATTAATGCCACAAATGTACTGCTTTTAGTTAATTAATAATATTAATTGAACGTTACTTAATGTACTTATATAATATTTTGATTATAATATACAGGCATAATGTATAGACAAAACAGAAGTTGGATGTACCAAAAACATCGCGATAACTATGGAATACGTAGTGAATTACAAAAATGAAACAAAATGAAACAATTAATGTCTCAGTTGGGGCTTCCTTGTATAGAAATTGATGCGTGCCCAGAAGGATGTATGTTGTTATGGAAGGATGATGTGGCACTTGAGAGCTGCAAGTTCTGTGGTGGAGAGAGATACAAGCCTATTCCTCATAGACGAAAAAACCACGAAAAAGGTCTGCATTGTCTAAATTGATTTACCTCCCTCTAGCTCCACGTCTGAAAAGGATGTATGCTTCAAATGCTACTGCGAAACACATGACGTGGCATGTTGAGCAGGAAACCAAAGAGGGTTTGATGTCTCACCCTTCCGACTGTAAAGCTTGGAGACACTTTGACCGTTGTCATCCTCAGTTTGCAATGGAATGGAACCACGGAATGTGCGACTGGGATTGTGTTCAGACAGATTTGCTGCTTTTGGAAAGTTTGGGAAGAAATTTTCATGTTGGCCAGTCATGCTAACGATGATTTCATGAAGTGCTTCACTCTCGTCTTCACTATCGTTGGATGTACAGGTTAGTCACAATTTCATTTATAAACGATGATTTGTTTAATAAGAACATTTGTTTGTTTACAAATTTTATTTTGCATGACATGTTTCTGGGAGATTTGAAAAAGAAAGCGACCAACAAGGCACACATTGAGGCTTCAATTTGTTAAGCATATATTCAACAAGAAACCTCAACGTTTTCATCTTTTTATTTTGAGCGTGAAGTCATACGTAAAAGAGACCTGCTCGGAACGATGACATTGGCGAAGATTCATATGACAAAGTAGTTTCTATTTTCAACTACCCAGATAGAGGTAAAGGAGATGTGACTTACCGTTACATCGTGGGCGGAGAAATGAAAATTGCACAAACTTACATCCTCATGAATTGTCAAGAAATCTTACCATTTTATAAGTAAGTTGAATTGGTAGTTATATTTGTAATATAGCTAACATTTTTTTGATATTTAGAGTGTTATAATAATATCTTTATGTTTCAATTCACAGTGAATTTTCTGATGCTGCAATTGATGCAATGGTGGACTCTGACTTTGCATTATGGTACCAACAGCAGGTATATATAAATACATTATATAGACTATTAGCTAATAATTTTTAATCATTACCTAATGTTATCATGTTTTAATTTGCAGATCAGGTACCGTGGGATTAACGACCCTCTGTTAGTATCATTATCGTGGGACCCTTCTTCCTATGCAAAGGTTTGTCATTCATATGTGATAAACGATTATACGTATCACACAGTCGAATATGGAGAAGGTCGACCAACGATGAATGAACAGTGGGTTATGTGTCCCGACCATTGGTTCTGATAACTCGGAAACCAATTTTTTTGGTTTCTTGCATGAGATTCTCGAACTTCAAATGCCTTCTGGTTTGGCACATTAACATGCGTGTTGTTTCGCTACACGTGGTGTGAGAAAAAATTCAAAGTATAATATAATTGACGTCGATCACTCTCGTGTGTATCAGAAAAATGAGCCTTTTATACTCGCTCAACAAGCAGTCCAGGTTTATTATGCAGAGTATCCTTCAACGAGGCGCACACGGAGGAAGAAGAAGAATGGATATATGATGATGAAGATACAGAGGAAGAAGTATTTTGCTTAGAGTTCTTAGACCTACCCTAGATCTACCTCTCACAAACATAGCCTCACCGGAGTCCCTGGACTGACTAGCACTACCCCTAGCATGCTTCAGGTCTAATTCCTTACTCCTTAACCTATTAAATATCATCCCTACCATATTTAATAGCGGACTTAACATTATTATAAGAGTCGGGAATTGCATTAAGTAACACTATGGGAGTATAATCATCTATGTGTTTATCACCTGCCTGTTTGATATTCTGTATCAGTTTATTAAACACATCCAGGTTCTCATCTATATCCTTAGTCAAGCCTAAACCTAAAGAATTTCTCAAGTAAAAACAACTTCCCGTGCAAAGAGGTATCAGTATAGAGACTATCCAATTTCTCCCACAAAGCCTTAGCGGATTCAATAATACCCACTTTGCTTAGCCTTATCTTCTGATTCAAGGAAATGGTAGAGCAAACAGTTTCATTCATTTCACTTTGCTTAGCCTTATCTTCTGATTCAAGGAAAATACCAGTGACAACTTTGAAAACCTTTTGTTGTATTAAAACACACTTAATTTTCTGTTTCCAAATATCAAAATCTGTTTTTCCATTAAATGGAAGCATACCATACTGATTAGCAGCCATGGTATCAACCACAAAACAACACAAAGCTAAACAAACAAATTTGACAGAAAATAAATCAACACGGGCTATAAAGTATTCACTTTAATGACCACGGACAGCATGCAATAAATAGCAATTTTGGACAGTTTGGCACATAAACAACTTCGGTCAGCAATTAGGATTAATTAATTCTACCCCTAACACCCAATAAACCACCCCTACGCACAAGAATTGAAATTAACAACACTTTGCAATTCAATTTATACAACTAAACAATCTGCCACAAAGGATAGAGTTTAGCAAATGCACCTGGGGGGTTGGCGGCCGGGATACAATCTACCGGCGGCCCGCGAGGAGGGGGAATAAATTAAATCCGGAGGCACCCGGTGCACCTAGGGTGTTTATCGCCAATTTACCTTAGCGAAACCCTAGGAGAGGGTTTCGACCTTACCTACCCAATTAAAAAATTGGGATTTTCGGACTGTTGACTAAGTTTGACCGGCGTTGACCGAAGTTGACCAGCGTTCCTGGTCAGCAACTCCAGCTCTAGCCCAGCAACAAAGTAGCTGTCCAGCTCCCAGCCCAAGACAGCAGCCCCAGCACTACACAAAAGAATAGCCCAGGTCCAGAGGCCCAAAAAGGAACCCAAGTCCAAGCGTCTGCGTTCTCTCTGCTTCGTCAGACAAGGCTTCAGCGGTCCAGCGGACGGATCTCTAGGCGGCGATTCCTAGGCAGACAAGGCTTCAGCGGTGACCTCAGCCTACGAGCTCTGAAATCCACGGCATGTTACGGACGGCGGCGGCGGCAGACGGCGAACCCGCTCTGATACCACTGTTAGGATCGTATTCCGTCTCCGGCTCAGGTCTATTCCACTATACTCACATACACCGCGTTAGGGGAGGCTGTAGCACACCTATTCTCTTTACTCTCTTCTTCTAACCACAAAGGAACTCTCAAGCAAGGAGGAAGAAGGAAGACACTGCTCTCAAAGGTTCTGCAGGCTTAACTCAAAGGCAAGGGAGTTGTTGACTTTATAATAGGCATCTTGGTCATTAGGCGCTCACGGGTGAAGAAAGACAGAAGCTCACGGGTATAGCAAGACAAGGGGCAGGTACTGTAGCAGACAGCACAAGGGGCCAAACCTGGTAATTAAGGAGTCAACAGGTATATTATTGATCAGGTAATATACCAAGGTAAAAGTACCAAAGTGGGAGTAAAACATAGGGTGCAAGCCTGAACAAATAAAGTGGAAGGGAAACCTTGGTAGGACCAATACCTCCAACGGCTTTTATACGTGCAAACCGTATGGACATCTCATCTACATCACTATTCACACCTCCAAATCAACCAATTGAAATAGCATCAACACGTGGGCTGCATGTGAGGAACGGAATTGCATTGTTTAATAGGTAATGGATGATGATTCACTTGATGGTGACGTTTCCAAGCGGGACTATTCCAAAATTTCTTTTGCTTTTATATATTAATAGATTTTTAACTTTCTTTCGTCATTATTATATTATTCCAAGATAGTTAGGTATGTAATTCGCAATTATAATTTCTAAACACAATAATTATTCTATATTATATTGTAAAATAGCAATTAATTAATTGATAAAATTAAGTTTTTAAAATTATTCAATCGAAAATTAGTGGTTCATTATTATCAATTCGGAAATTTAAAATTAATTAGGTAATTCGAAAATTGAAAATTATTTAATTTTAAATAATTCAAAATTTAACATTATTTAAAATTCGGATTTTAGTTTTTTAACATTATTTGTTATTAGTTTTTTAACATTACAAAATTTTAATAATTCAAAATTTAATAAACAAGAACATGAATTTATTTATTAAATTTAAAAACTAAGTAGAAAACACACATTTTTTTATCATTTATTACATTCAACAACTCACAATACAGATAAACACAATTATTTGTGTCAAAGCTTTTATCTAGAGGCTTATCAAGTAGCTCGTTAATTCTTTCTGCAGCTTCCGCGTTTATAAGTATCATATACTCCGAACATTGTTCTGCACGAAAAAGTGCCCTACACAAGTTTTTCCCTCGTGAAACGTTGTATGAATCTGATTCATAGTCTACAATATCGCCAAAGCTTTCAAGCGGTCTACTCATCAGCCCACGGATGCTTTGAACTGCTTCTGCATTTCGAGGCTTCATCAACTGTGTAACTTGTTTTTCGCACTAAAAAATTGGGGCTCAAAGCACATATTTATACTTAAATTTGTCACGGATGGATCCGTGACAAACCGGTCAACCTGCCGCTTCTGCTACCTCGTCTGTCGTTCCCTGACACCTCGACTGCCGTCCCTCGGTATTCAATTTCCGATGATGTTGTCACGGATTAATCCGTGACAAATTCAAAATTCGTATTTAATTTGTCACGGGTGTTGTCACGGATCCATCCGTGACAACCCCTAATATATAAACAACACTTCGCCATGTTTTCATGACGCTCCCAAACCCTAACCCTTCTCCCCTCCCAACCGTTCAGTCTTCTCTTACAGACCGCCACCGTTCTGCCTTCTCTTACACCCGCCGACCGCCACCACACACGTACAGCTCTCCACTGCAGTTCATCTCCGCCTCTGGCGCCGTCCTTCGAAGCCTTCACTCCTCTCCATTTCTTGCCTTCTCCTCCTTCATTGAGGTTATGTTTCTAACTCTTTAATTTCCGGATATTTTATTATAAATGTTTTAAAATGCCAAAAACAAAATGTTTATATGTTAATAAGTTGATATGCATTCAATATGTTTATATGTTCATATCTCATATACGTTCTAAATGTTTATGTGCTTACATACTCAAATATTTCCGTATACTTAAATTATTGGAAATGATTTGAAATGCTATTGTTTGTAATATTATACACTCAAATGCATGTTCTACTTCTTTGAAAATGCATGCTAAAAATATTTATGTTTCAATGATTTGTTCATATATTCATATGCATTCATTTTTAATGTGTTTGTATGATTATATACTCATATGCATGTTTTTTCTCTCTTAATTTAAAAATGCATGCCCTAGATTTATTGTTTATATGTTTTTGAGTTTTTCGTATATTTAGTCAAGGATATTTTTGAGTTTTTGAGCTTTTGTTAATTTCGGATATTTATTAAGAATAATAATTTCAACTCCACAAATTTTCACCCCATCATGTTACACTTTCAAAAAAGTTAACATGTCTAACCCAACAAAATCATGAAACTGTTAATTAATTTTTTTTATGTTTTTTCGGATATTACTAATTATTGTTTATAAAACTTGATAAAAACTGATTTTTAATTAATTTCGGATATTATAATATTTTATTTTAAATCATACAAAAAAACGTCGTTTCATAAAAAACGTCGTTTAATTAATTTCGGACAGTATAATATTTAATACGTTATAGATAGTTTTTTTAAATTGTTGCTAAGTTTGATAAGTAAATACGAAATAACTGAAAAAATACAAAAATTAATAAGAAAATGTTTCAAAGGTAAAAAAACAGAAATTAAGTAAAAAAACAGTATTTTATAGATTAAAACAGAAATAAAAAACTAAATAAACTGTTTTTGTTTATATAATACAAAAATGATTTCATATGTTTCATGAAAAAATTGATTTTATGGGTTTCATGAATAAACAAAATTGGAAACTGATTTTATAGATTTTATGAAAAAATTGATTTTATAGATTTCAAAAATCAATTTTTTCATGAAACATATGAAATCATTTTTGTATTATATAAACAAAAACTGATTTTTTAATGCAAAAACTGAGTTTTTACAAAATCAGAAAACTATTTTTTATAAATTAATACAAAATACAAGGTGTAATAAACTGTATTTTTCTAAGTTAATGCAAAAATCTGATTTTATAAGTTTTATAATTTAATATGAAAAAACTGATTTTATTAGTTTAATATAAAAAGTTTGATTAATTGATATTATAAGGTTTGATAAAAAATATACATAACACAAGTTAACTCTATAACATAAAAATCATACAAAAAACTAATTCGACCCCTCATATTAAACTCAAGTTTAATACTCCCTCCGTTCTTTATTATGTGTCTCATATTCCTTTTCGGGACGTTTTTAATTATTTGTCTCTCTTTCCCTTTGTGGTAAATTTTTTCAATCAAAATACTTTTATACCCCACTTTTATTACCATTACCCTTTTCTCTTTCCTACTTTTTCATTTACCCACAACCCACTATAGCTTTTACACTACCCCTATTATTTTCCTCTTAAAACCCGTGCCAAAGCCTAAGAGGACAGATAATAAAGAACTGAGGGAGTATGTTCTATATTTCAAAGTTTTATACCACACAAAAACATCATAAACTGATTTTATAAGGTTTGATAAAATAATACCTAACACAATTAAATTCCATAACATAAAAGTCATACAAAAAACTCATTCTACCCCTCATATTAAACTCAAGTTTAATATGTTCTATATTTCAAAGTTTGATAATTAAATAGGAAACTGATTATTTAAGTTTAAACCATTATACCACATAAAAACACCATAAACTGATTTTATAAGGTTTGATAAAATAATACCTAACACAATTCAATTCCATAACATAAAAATCAAACTAAAAACTCATTCGAGTCCTCATATTAAACACAAGTTTAATATGTTCTATATATTATTTCTCAATAATTTTAGATGAGTGAGCACGAACGCGGCCGTTCCACCTCTGCTCGTCATGGGCGGCAGAATTCACGACGGGCCTCAAACGCTGATCGTGATATCAATGCCGATGAAGGACATGCTCATGACGGACATGTCCAAACTCCTCCCTCTGAACAATCAGACGCTCATATCAACGTGCATGGGGAGGGGGCATCAACCTCCCATTCACCTCCTCCATCTCGTGCAATATATGTCCACCCCAACTCAAGAAGAGCGCCACAATCCCAGTTCGCTTGAGGTGACACCTCAATCAATCCATAGGTAATAAAAAACTAACATTGTCTAATATAAAATAGTATAATCCCTACATCTAAGAATTAATACAATTGTTTTTATCAATTATTAATTTTTTTTAAGCAATCCTGAGGTCTTGAATAGAATCAAGCTATTGTTTGTGGTCATTTCACGGGGCCTTGGTCGACTTATGGTGAGGTTCCGGCGGCCACTCGTGATCGTGAACTATGGTAGCCGTTGTTCAAGGTAAAAATAAATTTTTTTTGTTACATTTTAATAACTTAAATTTAACAAATGATATATTAATGTTTTTAATGAAGGCTTCCCATCGGTGGCATTTTGCCCTAGACCAAGCTATTCTCAAAGAATACAATTCTAGGATCTCGGGGTGGTTGGGACCCACTTTTAAGACTGCCCGGTCTACCGGTCGAAAGCCAAGATTCCTTGGCGATGATGTGTGGGAGATGCTTTGCCGCCATTGGGCCACGGATCCCGCATTTTTGCTGAGAAGCGAAACAGCCAAGGCCAACCGGAACTCGGAAAAAAGATCTGGTAGACTCTAATTAATTAAAATTATTTCCATTCCATTCCCTTATGTACATTTTTTTATTAACTTTGAAATCCGTGTAGGAAGGATCTGGACCAGTGAAAAAAAGGGTCACGCCATTGAAACTCATGGCACATTGTTAGACGAAGAAGGGTGCTGTAACGCCGCCTTTCTGAAATTGAAGTAAATAATGAAACTTCAATAATTCAATAAATTTAGAATTTTTTTGATCTCTTATATAATAAATTTTTGAACTTGTAGAAAAAATATGAGGAAGAGCAGGGGAAGAGAGTTGATGAGCAAGGTGATTCTGATGCCGAACTTGATGAAAATCAAGATGATGAGGTCATCTTGGCGGCAACCGGAGTTTACAAGGGCCGGGTGACGCTTATGGGTTCTGAAGGCTTACGGATTCTGGAGAAGTTCAAAGGAACTAGCTCATCTTCTCATTCGGCGTATGATGATCGGGTTACCCGTCTCGAGAAACAATTGGAGGAACGTGAAGCAGAGGCTCGAAGACGGGATGAAGAAGCTCGGATACGGGATGAAGAGGCAAGAAGAACGAGAGAAAGGTTGGAAGAGATGGAACGACAAATGCGTATATTCAACGCCACCTACCGCCCATCCATGCACATACAGCACCCCGAGATTACCCCACAAATTCCCTTCGCGGGCAATATGGGCAGTAGGGGTTTTGCTAATTATAGCCATATCACTAACAATTTTCCATATGCATATTATGATGATAACCCATTATTGACTCTCGGAGCTCAAGCATACCGTGGCAGCAGCCTGGCTGGCAGCTGTGGTGGCAGTCAAGGCAGTCATCGTGGCGGCAGCCGTGGCCACGGAAGGCAACCCGATCATCGCGAGGAACCTAATGATGATGATGATTATGATGACCATTGATGGTTTGTAATAACTAGTTTATTGATATTTTAAATTTTGATGGTTACTGTACGAATATCAATTATCTGTGTTATATAATGATGGTTTGATTGGTTTATTATTTATTATAATAAATAATGTTTAATGGTGATTAATGATGATTGTTTAATTATTTATTATAAAAAATTATTTATTAAGATTAATGATGATTGTTTAACTATTGATTATTAACAATGTTTATTAAGTTTAAATTTTTTAAAATGCGTCTAGAATTTAATGATTTTAATGGTTATTAAATAAACTTTTGAAATTTTAAAATAAACATTCAAAATGCGCTGAATTTTTTAATTTTTTTTTTAAAAAAATAAAACTTTTGTCACGGACGATTCCGTGACAAAATATGAATTCAGTTTATTTAAATTACCCAAAACGTTATAAAAAAAGTTTTGTCACGGATTAGATCCGTGACCAGTTCACAATTTTGAATTTTTTTTTGAAATTTTTAAAGTAACCGCCCACCTGTTTCGAAATTTTTCAAATTTTTTTCAAAACTTTTTGTCACGAATATGTCTGTGACAAAATTAAAAATTTGATTTTTGCAACTCGTTTCAAATACCCGCCCACTCTATTTCGAAAACCTTTTTTTTTAAATTTGTAAAACCTTTGTCACAGATATTTTCAGCGTTTCGGGTATTTTAAATAAACTGAATTCATATTTTGTCACGGAACCGTCCGTGACAAAAGTTTTATTTTTTTAATTTTTTTTTTTAAAAATTCAGCGCATTTTGAATGTTTATTTTAAAATTTCAAAAGTTTATTTAATAATCATTAAAATCATTAAAATTTAGACGCATTTTAAAAAATTTAAACTTAATAAACATTGTTTATAATAAATAGTTAAACAATCATCATTAATCTTAATAAATAATTGTTTATAATAAATAATTAAACAATCATCATTAATCACCATTAAACATTATTTATCATAATAAATAATTAACCAATCAAACCATCATTATATAACACAAATAATTAATATTCGTACAGTAACCATCAAAATTTAAAAATCATTAAAATGTCAATAAACTAGTTATTACAAACCATCAATGATCATCATAATCATCATCATCATCATTAGGTTCCTCGTGATGATCGGGTTGCCTTCCGTGGCCACGGCTGCCGCCACGATGGCTGCCTCGACTGCCACCACGGCTGCCAGCCTGGCTGATGCCACGGCATGCTTGAACTCCGAGAGTCAATAATGGGGTATCATCATAATATGCATATGGAAAATTGTTGGAGATATGGCTATAATTAGCAAAACCCCTACTGCCCATATTGCACGCAAAGGGAATTTGTGGGGTAATCTCGGGGTGCTGTATGTGCATGGATGGGCGGTAAGTGGCGTTGAACATACGCATTTATCGTTCCATCTCTTCCAACCTTTCTCTCGTTCTTCTTGTCTCTTCATCCCGTATCCGAGCTTCTTCATCCCGCCTTCGAGCCTCTGCTTCACGTTCCTCCAATTGTTTCTCGAGGCGGGTAACCCGATCATCATACGCCGAATGAGAAGATGAGCTAGCTCCTTTGGAGCTCTCCAGGATCCGTAAGCCATCAAAATCCATGAGCAGCACCCGGCCGTTGTAAACTCCGGTTGCCGCCAAGATGGCCTCATCATCTTAATTTTCATCAAGTTCGGCATCAGAATCACCTAGCTCATCAACTCTCTTCCCCCGCTCTTACTCATATTTTTTCTACTAGTTCAATAATTTATTATATAAGAGATCAAAAAAAATCTAAATTTATTGAATTATTGAAGTTTCATTATTTACTTCAATTTCAGAAAGGCGGCGTTACAGCACCCTTCTTCGTCCAACAATGTGCCATGAGTTTCAATGGCGTGACCCTTTTTTTCACGGGTCCATATCCTTCCTACACGGATTTCAAAGTTAATAAAAAAATATATACATAAGGGAATGGAATGGAAATAATTTTAATTAATTAGAGTTTACCAGATCTTTTTTATGTTGAATTTGGGGTTTGCGGCCCCCGTGCCATTGAACTTCCTTGGCTTTTTCCGAGTTCCGGTTGGCCTTGGCTGTTTCGCTTCTCAGCATAAATGCGGGATCCGTGGCCCAATGGCGGCAAAGCATCTCCCACACATCATCGCCAAGGAATCTTGGCTTTCGACCGGTAGACCGAGCAGTCCTAAAGGTGGATCTCAACCACCCCGAGATCCTAGAATTGTATTCTTTGAGAATAGCTTGATCTAGGGCAAAATGCCACCGATGGGAAGCCTTCATTAAAAACATTGATATATCATTTGTTAAATTTAAGTTATTAAAATGTAACAAAAAAATTTTATTTTTACCTTGAACAACCGCCACCATAGTTCACGAGTGGCCGCCGGAACCTCACCATAAGTCGACCAAGGCTCCGTGAAATGACCACAAACAATAGCCTTGATTCTATTCAAGACCTCGGGATCGCTTCAAAAAAATGATAATTGATAAAAACAATTGTATTAATTCTTAGATGTAGGGATTATACTATTTTATATTAGACGATGTTAGTTTTTTATTACCTATGGATTGATTGAGGTGTCACCTCAAGCGAACCGGGATTGTGGCGCTCTTCTTGAGTTGGGGGGCATATATTGCACGAGATGGAGGAGGTGCATGGGAGGTTGATGCCCCCTCCCCATGCACGCTTATATGAGCGTTTGATTGTTCAGAGGGAGGAGTTTGGACATGTCCGTCATGAGCATATCCTTCATCGGCATTGATATCATCATTGATATCACGATCAGCGTTTGAGGCCCGTCGTGAATTCTGGCGCCCACGACGAGCAGAGGTGGAACGGCGACGTTCGTGCTCACTCATCTAAAATTATTGAGAAATAATATATAGAACATATTAAACTTGTGTTTAATATGAGGGGTCGAATGAGATTTTAGTTTGATTTTTATGTTATGGAATTTAATTGTATTAGGCATTATTTTATCAAACCTTATAAAATCAGTTTATGGTGTTTTTGTGTGGTATAATGGTTTAAACTTAAATAATCAGTTTCCTATTTATTTATCAAACTTTGAAATATAGAACATATTAAACTTGAGTTTAATATGAGGGGTAGAATGAGTTTTTTGTATGACTTTTATGTTATGGAATTTAATTGTGTTAGGTATTATTTTATCAAACCTTATAAAATCAGTTTATGGTGTTTTTGTGTGGTATAAAACTTTGAAATATAGAACATACTCCCTCAGTTCTTTATTATCTGTCCTCTTAGGCTTTGGCACGGGTTTTAAGAGGAAAAATAATAGGGGTAGTGTAAAATGTATAGTGGATTGTGAGTAAATGAAAAAGTAGGAAAGAGAAAGGGGTAATGGTAATAAAAGTGGGGTATAAAAGTATTTTGATTGAAAAAACTTACCACAAAGGGAAAGGGAGACAAATAATTAAAAACGTCCCAAAAAGGAATACGAGACACATAATAAAGAACGGAGGGAGTATTAAACTTGAGTTTAATGAGGGGTCGAATTAGTTTTTTGTATGATTTTTATGTTATAGAGTTAACTTGTGTTATGTATATTTTTTATCAAACCTTATAAAATCAATTAATCAAACTTTAAATACTAAACTAATAAAATCAGTTTTTTCATATTGAATTATAAAACTTATAAAAATCAGTTTTTTGCATTAATTTAGAAAAATACAGTTTATTACACCTTGTATTTTGTATTAATTTATAAAAAACAGTTTTCTGATTTTTTAAAAACTCGGTTTTTGCATTAAAAAATCAGTTTTTGTTTATATAATACAAAAATGATTTCATATGTTTCATGAAAAAATTGATTTTTGAAATCTATAAAATCAATTTTTTCATAAAATCTATAAAATCAGTTTCCGTTTTTGTTTATTCATGAAACCTATAAAATCAATTTTTTTATAAAACATATGAAATCATTTTTGTATTATATAAATAAAAACAGTTTATTTAGTTTTTTTATTTCTGTTTTAATCTATAAAATACAATTTTTTACTTAATTTCTATTTTTTACCTATGAAATAGTTTATTATTAATTTTTGTATTATTTCAATTATTTCGTATTTACTTATCAAGCTTATCAAAATTAATTAAACGACGTTTTTTATGAAACAACGTTTTTTTGTATTATTTAAAATAAAATATTATAATATCCGAAATTAATTAAAAACCAGTTTTTATCAAGTTTTATAAACAATAGTTAGTAATATCCGAAAAAACATAAAAAAAGTAATTAACAGTTTCATGATTTTGTTGGGTTAGACATGTTAACTTTTTTGAAAGTGTAACATGAGGGGGCGAAAATATGTGGAGTTGAAATTATTATTCTTAATAAATATCCGAAATTAACAAAAGCTCAAAAACTCAAAAATATCCTTGACTAAATATTTAATAAATTACTATTCTTAATAAATATCCGAAAAACTTAAAAAACATATAAACATTCAAAATCCAGGGCATGCATTTTTAAAGTAAGAGAGAACATGGTTAAGCATATAAACAAATGATAAAAATAAATCATGAAACAATAAATCTAGGGCATGCATTTTTAAATTAAGAGAGAAAACATGCATATGAGTATATAATCATACAAACACATAAAAAATGAATGCATATGAATATATGAACAAATCATTGAAACATAAATATTTTTAGCATGCATTTTCAAAGAAGTAGAACATGCATTTGAGTGTATAATATTACAAACAATAGCATTTCAAATCATTTCCAATAATTTAAGTATACGGAAATATTTGAGTATGTAAGCACATAAACATTTAGAACGTATATGAGTTATGAACATATAAACATATTGAATGCATAGCAACTTATTAACATATAAACATTAAATTAAACAATTAAACAATATTAGGAAAAACATGCATTTTGTTTTTGGCATTTTAAAACATTTATAATAAAATATTCGGAAATTAAAGAGTTAGAAACATAACCTCAATGAAGGAGGAGAAGGCAAGAAATGGAGAGGAGTGAAGGCTTCGAAGAACGGTGGCAGAGGCGGAGATGAACCGCGGTGGAGAGTTGTACGTGTGCGGTGACGGTCGGCATGTAAGAGTAGAGGGAGAAGTGTTAGGCGGAGATGGACTGCGGTGGAGGGTTGTGTGCGGTGGCGGTCGGCAGGTGTAAGAGAAGGCAGAACGGTGGCTGTGGCGGTGGCAGTCTGTAAGAGAAGACTGAACGGTTGGGAGGGGAGAAGGGTTAGGGTTTGGGAGCGTAATGAAAAAATGGCGAAGTGTTGTTTATATATTAGGGGTTGTCACGGATGGATCTGTGACAACACCCGGGACAAATTAAATACGAATTTTGAATTTTGAATTTGTCACGAATTAATCCATGACAACATCATCGGAAATTCAATACTGAGGGACAGCAGTCGAGGCGTCAGGGAACGGCAGACGAGGCAGCAGAAGCGGCAGGATGACCGTTCCAGGGAATATTAAAGCTTTTCAGCCTTTTTCAGGCGAGACGTCAGGTACCTTAATTGTCACGGACCTATCCGTGACAAATTTAAGTATAAATATGTGCTTTGAGCCCCAATTTTCAGTGCGAAAAAATGGCTAATCCAGAACCAGATGTGTGGAAGTTGATCAGTAGAAGTGTACAACGATTAAAACAAGTTACACAGTTGATGAAGCCTCGAAATGCAGAAGCAGTTCAAAGCATCCGCGAGCTGATGAGTAGACCGCTTGAAAGCTTTGGCGATATTGTAGACTATGAATCAGACTCATACAACGTTTCACGAGGGAAAAACTTGAGTAGGGCACTTTTTCGTGCAGAACAATGTTTGGAGTATATGACACCTATAAACGCGGAAGCTGCAGAAAGAATTAACGAGCTATTTGATAGACCTCTAGATGAAAGCTTTGACGCTAATGAATAATATTGTGTTTATTTGTTTATTTGTATTGTGAGTTGTTGAATGTAATAAATGATAAAAAATTGTGTGTTTTCTACTTAGTTTTTAAATTTAATAAATAAATTCATGTTCTTGTTTATTAAATTTCGAATTATTAAAATTTTGTAATGTTAAAAAACTAATAACAAATAATGTTAAAAAACTAAAATCCGAATTTTAAATAATGTTACATTTTGAATTATTTAAAATTTAAATAATTTTCAATTTTCGAATTACCTAATTAATTTTAAATTTCCGAATTGATAATAATGAACCACTAATTTTCGATTGAATAATTTTAAAAACTTAATTTTATTAATTAATTAATCGCTATTTTACAATATAATATGGAATAATTATTTTGTTTAGAAATTATAGTTGCGAATTACATACCTAACTATCTTGGAATAATATAATAATGACGAAAGAAAGTTAAAAATCTATTAATAAATAAAAGCAAAAGAAATTTTGGAATAGTGTTCCCGCTTGGAAACGTAACCATCAAGTGAATCATCATCCATTACCTATTAAACAATGCAATTCCGTTCCTCACAAGCAGCCCGCGTGAGAATTTTTAATGGGTCCTACTGTTTTGATTTCAAATCTAAAGAGAATAGTGTTGAGGCTATTTCAATTGGGTGATTTGGAGGTGTGAATAGTGATGTAGATGAGATGTCCATACGGTTTGCACCTATAAAAGTTGTTGGAGGTATTGGTCCCACCAAGGCCTCCCTTCCACTTTATTTGTTGAGGCTTGCACCCTATGTTTTACTCCCACTTTGGTACTTTTACCTTGGTATATTACCTGATCAATAATATACCTGTTGACTCCTTAATTACCTGGCTTTGGCCCCTTGTTTTGTCCGCTGCAGTACCTGCCCCTTGTCTTGCTATACCCGTGAGCTTCTGTCTTTGTTCACCCGTGAGTGCCTAATGGGCAAGATGCCTATTATAAAGTAAACACTCCCTTGCCTTTGAGTTAAGCCTGCAGAACCTTTGAGAGCAGTGTCTTCCTTCTTCCTCCTTGCTTGAGAGTTCCTTTGTGGTTAGAAGAAGAGAGTAAAGAGAATAGGTGTGCTAGCCTCCCCTAACGTGGTGTATGTGAGTATAGTGGAATTGACCTGAGCCGGAGACGGAATACGATCCTAACAGTGGTATCAGAGCGAGTTCGCCGTCTGCCGTCCCCGCCGTCCGGAACACGCCGTGGATTTTAGAGCTCGTAGGCCGAGGTCACCGCTGAAGCCTTGTCTGCCTAGGAATCACCCCTTGGAGATCTGTCCGCTGGAGCCGTCGTTGCCGAAGCCTTCGCCGTCTGAGTGTTCGCCGTTCGCAAAAGGCCTGGAGCTCGTTCGTCGCTCTGGTCGCAGAAGACTGAGATGAAGCAGAGAGAACGCAGACACTTGGACTTGGGTTCCTTTTTTTGGGCCTCTGGACCTGGGCTGTTCTTTTGTGTAGTGTTGGGGCTGCTGTCTTGGGCTGGGAGCTGGACTGCTACTTTGCTGTTGGGCTGGAGCTGGAGTTGCTGACCAGGATTGCTGGAGGTGCTGGACCGCCGGTCACCGCCGGTCAACGCTGGTCAACTTCGGTCAACGCCGGTCAAACTCAGTCAACGGTTCGAAAATCCTAATTTTTTAATTGGGTAGGTAAGGTCGAAACCCTCTCCTTGGGTTTCGCTAAGGTAAATTGGCGATAAACACCCTAGGTGCATCGGGTGCCTCCGGATTTAATTTATTCCCCCTCCCCGCAGGTCGCCGGCAGATTCTAAACCCTATCCTTTGTGGCAGATTGTTTAGTTGTATAAATTGAATTGCAAAGTGTTGTTAATTTCAATTCTTGTGTGTAGGGGTGGTTTATTGGGTGTTAGGGGTAGAATTAATTAATCCTAATTGCTGCCCGAAGTTGTTTATGTGCCAAACTGTCTAAAATTGCTATTTGTTGCATGCTGCCCGTGGTTATTAAAGTGAATACTTTATAGCCCGGGTTGATTTATTTTCTGTCAAAATTGTCTGTTTAGCTTTGTGTTGTTTTTTGGTTGATACCATGGCTGCTAATCAGTATGGTATGCTTCCATTTAATGGAAAAACAGATTTTGATATTTGGAAACAGAAAATTAAGTGTGTTTTAATACAACAAAAGGTTTTCAGAGCTGTCACTGGTATTTTCCTTGAATCAGAAGATAAGGCTAAGCAAACTGAAATGAATGAAACTGCTTGCTCTACCATTTACTTGAATCTGTCTGATTCTGTTCTTAGGAAAGTGGGTATTATTGAATCCGCTTAGGCTTTGTGGGAGAAATTGGATAGTCTCTATACTGATACCTCTTTGCCCGGGAAGTTGTTTTTACTTGAGAAATTCTTTAGATTTAGGCTTGACCTGACTAAGGATATAGATGAGAACCTGGATGTGTTTAATAAACTGATACAGAATATCAAACAGGCAAGTGATAAACACATAGATGATTATACTCCCATAGTGTTACTTAATGTCATTCCCGACTCTTATAATGATGTTAAGTCCGCTATTAAATATGGTGGGGATGATATTTCGTTAGATATTGTTGTTAATGGATTAAGGAGTAAGGAATTAGACCTGAAGCATGCTAGGGGTAGTGCTAGTCAATCCAGGGACTCCGGTGAGGCTATGTTTGTTAGAGGTAAATCTAAGGGTAGGTCTAAGAACTCTAAGCAAAATAGTCAAAGTAAGAACACTAGTCAGCCTGGGAGAAAGAGGAGCAAATCTAGGAAGAGAGTGTGTTACAATTGTGGTAACGCTGGCCATTTCATTAAGGATTGCCCTAACCCTAAGAAGACCGAGCATGCTAGTGTTGTTGTTGATAGATGTGACCTTGGTGACATTTTGATGGTTTGTGATCATGTTAATTCTGTGAGAAATTCCTTGTCTGAGCATGAATGGTTGATTGACTCTGGTTGTACCTATCACATGTCCCCCTTTAGAGATTTGTTTTCTTCATATGAATTAAGTGATAGTGGCTATGTTTCCTTAGCTGATAATAAGAGATGCAATGTGCTTGGTGTTGGTGATATATGTCTGAAGTTTTCTTGTGGCTCTGTGTTTACCATTAAGAATGTGAGGCATGTCCCTGATTTGTGTCATAACTTGTTATATATTGATGCTTTGGAGAGTAGTGGTTTACATGGAAAGTGGGGAAATGGTTGCATGAAAATCTTGAAAATTTCTCTTGTGTTGTTTAAAGCTGAGAAGCTGAATAACCTTTATGTGTGTCATGCTAAACCTTTTGTTGAGTCTGTGAATGTTGTATGTTCTGATAAGACCTCTTTGTGGCATAATAGGCTAGGACATATGAGCAATAAGGGTTTAGATGTCATGTGTAGGGCTAGTTATTTTGGTAAGGACTTTGTGACTTCTGTGCCTTTCTGTGAATCTTGTGTGTTAGGCAAGCAGCATAGAGTCAGCTTCCCTCCATCCTCTTACCCTAATCTGTCTAAGTGTCCTGCCAGTGTTCCTACCCAGGGGGGTAGGAAATATTTCTATTATTGATGACTTTTCTAGGAAGGTGTGGGTTTGCTTTTTAGAACACAAGTCTGATGTGTTTGTGAGGTTTAGGGAGTGGAAACCCCTAGTTGAAAACCAAACTGGCAGGAAGGTTAAAACCCTTAGGACCGATAACGGGTTAGAGTTCTGTAATAAGGAGATGGATAAGCTGTGTGTGGATTGTGGGATAAAAAGGCACAAAAGTGTGCCTTATACTCCCCAACAGAATGGGATAGCAGAGAGAATGAATAGGTCTCTGTTGGATAAGGTTAGAAGCATGTTAGCTACCTCTGATTTGTCTAAGAAATTTTGGGGTGAAGCAGTTACTACTACTGCCTATTTGGTTAATAGGTCTTCGTTTGTCCCTCTTGGTGGTAAGTGTCCTGAAGCCGTCTTTACCGGTAAGCCTCTTGATCTGTCTAACCTTCGGGTGTTTGGTTGTGCAGCGTATGCACATCAACAGGGTGACAAGTTGGATCCTAGGTCTAAGAAATGTGTCTTCCTAGGTTATCCAGAGGGGATAAAGGGTTACAGGTTATGGGATAAGAACCAGGTAGGCTTTAAGGTGGTCATTAGCAGAAATGTGATGTTTAATGAAACTGATTTTCCTTGCTTGACCGAGTCTGTTTCTAATCCTGAGTCTAGGTCTGATACTACTCCTAGTGATGTGGAGTCTGTCCCTGTTGCTGCTAGTCCTTTATCTGTTGATCCTGTTATTACCGATGATATTGTTATGCATGATTCTGATTCCTCTGAGCATGATAGTCCCACCACCTCGAGTGAGGTGGAGCATTTGCATGATACTGAGCATGATTCGCATGATATGGGTGCTGAATCTGATTTTCATGACAACAATAATTTACATGAGTTGCATGTGGAGCCTAGTAGTGATAATTTGCATGATTATCAACTTGCTAGAGATAGGAGTAGAAGGGCTATTAGGAGAACTGCTGATAGTATGCCTGATTATGCTTTCATTGTGCATGATACTTCTATGTTTGCATTTTCTGTGTTTGAATCCCTAGAGCTGAATGAACCCAAGACCTACCGTGAAGCCTTAGGTTCCAAAGAGTCTCAGAAATAGATTAGTGCCATGAAAAGTGAGATGGACTCTTTGAGAATGAACCAGACTTGGACCCTTGTACCTAGACCCCATAACTGTTCGGTAGTTGAGTGTATGTGGTTGTTTAAGGTTAAGGAAGAACCTAGTGATGTTAGGTTTAAGGCTAGGTTGGTTGCGAAGGGGTTTACTCAAAAAGAGGGGGTAGATTATGCTGAAATCTTTGCTCATGTTGTTCGTATGATGCTTGCTTTAGTTGCTCATCATGACTGGGAAATGAAACAAATAGATGTAACTACTGCATTTTTGCATGGTGAATTGGTCAAAACAATTTATATGACCCAGCCTGAGGGCTTTGTGGATCCCAAGAGAAGTGAGCATGTCTGTTTGTTTAGGAAGGCGTTGTATGGCCTGAAGCAATCCCCTAGACAGTGGAACATCAAATTTGATAAATGCATGATATCTTTGAAGTTCCAAAAATCTGTTTGTGATCATTGCCTGTATTTCAAGAATACTTCTTCTGTGCCTGTATTTTTGTTACTCTATGTGGATGACATGCTGATAATTAGTCCTTCTCTGAATGATATTAAAGATGTGCAAAAATGTCTTTGTGCGAATTTTGCCATGAAAGACCTAGGTGATGCTAAGAAGATCCTAGGCATAAACATTGTTAGGGATAGGAGTAAGCGTACTCTTACTTTGAATCAGATTTCTTACATTGAAAAAGTTTTGAGTAAAATCAATATGTTATCTGCTTCTCCTGTCAATGTGCCTATGGCATCTCACTTTGTGTTAAGTAAGGACTAGTCTCCCAAGACTGTCCCTGAAATTGAGAAAATGAAATTTGTGCCCTATTCCAGCGCAATAGGGTCGGTTATGTATCTTATGGTTAGCATTAGACCTGATATTGCATATGCGGTTAGTTGCTTGAGTAGATATATGTCCAACCCTGGTTTGCCTCATTGGAATGCTTTTAAGTGATTGCTTAGATATCTGATATCTACTGTGAAGCATGGATTAGTTTTCTCTAAATGTGCTAGTGGTATTGAATTGATTGATTATGTTGATTCTAACTATGCAAATGATAGAGATAACAGGAAGCGACCACTTCTTATGTTTTAACTTTGTGTGACTCTTGCATAAGTTGGAAGTCTCAACTACAGACTATTGTGGCCCTTTCTACCACTGAATCTGAGTATGTTACAGCCACAGAAGCGTTTAAGGAAGCCATCTGGCTCAAACGCCTTGTCTCCGAAATTGGGTTTCTCAAACAGGGAGTTACCATTTTCTCGGATAGCCAATCGGCTATCCAACTTTGCAAAAATCCTGTATTTCATGATAGAACTAAGCATATTGATGTTAGGTTCCATTTAATACGTGATATTGTTGATGCAGGTGGAGTCAAGCTGTGCAAGATCCCGTCCGAGTTTAATCCCGCGGATATGGGTACCAAGTGTCTTTCTGCTGAGAAGCACTTGTCCTGTAAACGCGTATTAAACTTTGATTGTGGATAACTGTGGGTTGCCTAATAAAGTGTTTGCCCGTTTTATCTGTTGATATTCCGGGTGACCCGGCGATGATGAGTCTTGTCACAACCTTGTATTGTTACTCTACACCACCTAGGACCAATAAGGTGGAGAATGTTGGAGGTATTGGTCGTACCAAGGCCTCCCTTCCACTTTATTTGCTGAGGCTTGCACCCTATGTTTTACTCCCACTTTGGTACTTTTACCTTGGTATATTACCTGATCAATAATATACCTGTTGACTCCTTAATTACCTGGCTTTGGCCCCTTGTGTTGTCCGCTGCAGTACCTACCCCTTGTCTTGCTATACCCGTGAGCTTCTGTCTTTGTTCACTCGTGAGTGCCTAATGGGCAAGATGCCTATTATAAAGACAACACTCTCTTGCCTTTGAATTAAGCCTGCAGAACCTTTGAGAGCGGTGTCTTCCTTCTTCCTCCTTGCTTGAGAGTTCCTTTGTGGTTAGAAGAAGAGAGTAAAGAGAATAGGTGTGTTATAGCCTCCCCTAACGTGATGTATGTGAGTATAGTGGAATAGACCTGAGCCGGAGACGGAATACGATCCTAACAAAAGCAAGATTAATGCTATGCAATTCTCACATTCACTCGCATCTACAAGCTCACGCAGCAAAGTGAATAAAAACTCTCTCAAAATGCTAAGCATGCGGTCTCTTTTATTTAAACTCACGGGTATAGCAAGACCAGAGCAAAACAACGACTACATCGGAATGAAACATCGGAATGAAGCATGTGGGCAATGAAACATCTTCAAACTCTGCTGCATCACAATAATCGATTACAAAGACTGGAAGAAGTTCATTGAATGTAGAAATAGTCTTTATTTATTATGGTACATCGGAATAGAGAAACAGTCTTTATACTTTTGATGTAGTAACAGGCTTATACGTGGTTTGTAAGAATGTGTCTGCATGTGTATTAAGTATTCATTTTCTCATCTGATTCCATTTTATTTTTAAAACATTTTTATTAATCTAGATTTCATAAGAGTATACTTACCGTAGTTTTCCATTAGATGCTAGATCATGTTTCTGAACAAAAGTAATACTCAAATTTCCTCAGATATTTACAACGTTGTTCCTGTAAATAAAATGCAATCCAAAAATACATTATACAAACTGCGAACATAACGATTGTGTGGGTGTTAAAATCAATATGTTGTAGCAGTGCGCATTACACAGAAGAAAAATATAAACAATGTACCTGGAAGATTAAAAATACTACGTAATTATTAGAGGGAAAGCTATAACTTGTTCGGACATGTCACTTTTGTTTACACTCTATAGAGGGGAAGCTTACTTTCTTCGAAACAGCGAAAGAAATGGGTGACTCAAAATTATCTATTCTAATATAAAAGCAAAAGATTTTTGACGAACAGTGTTCCCGCCCGGAAGTGTCAACATCATGTTTTATTTTAATTTTCATCAAAAATAATTACAATCAAATGAGTCAACTTCCTAAATTGTTTATAAATATTTAGATACATGTTGAAATTTCAGAGCACTATTGGGTTGTTGAAATCCTGATTGGTGGCAAAGAGGTGGCTACAGTGTTGAAATTCTAATTGGTTGAAAATTCATAGCTACAGTATTCGCATTAAATTTATGCGTGTGCATTGCATTCTCGGTCCCCATGCTTGCAAGTTGCACTCCATACTTCTTACTTTCCTGTGGCGTAGATTTTTAGGTAAAGAAGAATATCATTTTATTTTCAAAAAAAGAATTGGTCATCAAAATCCCTTTAAAACACGTTCTCAGGAAGTTTTACATAAGTAGCCACTCCCCTGTAATTTAAACGTATAAATGAATTTCACACTCTGGCCGGTCTGAAGAAAAAACAAGGACTTTGGTAGAAAGAAATCTTAGTTATGGTGTAGTTTCAATACAAAAAAAAGTAATATTATTCCAGTGTAATTCATAGTGAAAGTTCTTTTATGTAAATAATATTCTCATTGCATTTCAAACACATACTACTTTCCGGAGAAAAAACTTAAAAAGAATTTAAATTTATGGTATGAGGAATGTATGTTGAAATTAATTTTTTAGATTCTGTAAAATCTAATGTGCCTACTTCAAATATAGTGGAAATTCATTTTTAAGATTCTGTAAAATCTAATAAAATTCTTAAAAAGATGTATAAAAACAAATCTTTTAACAATTTCTTTTGTTAAACAACTTCACTATAGAAGGTTGAATCATTAGTGGTTTACATGGATGAAATATAACAGCGTAATTAAAAAATATAACCATACCTATTGCCTCATCCTTGAATTAAAAATATAGGCCTTGGGGTTTTAAAGTGTTTCCTGTATGTCTGTGGTTGGGGGCGAGGTGTAGAAAAGCTATTGTTTGTTGAATTGTTTTGGATGATTTGTTGTGATACCGGCTTATAGTATGGACCGTATGGTTGTGGCCGTTGGTAGCGATAGGGAGTTATGGTTGGCGTTGGAGAAATGTTGCTCATGGTGAATTGGTCGGGTTCTAAAGCCATAGTTTGGGTGGGTTGGTCCTGGCATTCAATGAGACCGATTGGGTTCCAAATGGTCCCAATATTAAAGTCCGGGTCGGTGGTGGGTTTAGATGAACTTGGGAAGCAGCATGTGTACGGTCGTAGTATTATGTATCAGGCTCATGACACGTGACATACATTTAAGGCCACGTGTAACATTTAATTTATTTTAGAATTTTAGAACTCTCTACAAATTAAATTTCAAATCTATTTTAAAATAACCCATCAAATTTTAAAGCAAGTAATGTTCACTACTCCACTTTTTTAAACTCGAATAAAATAATAATCGTCGCATCCGTTGTAATATAACTTTCAGATATTATCATATTAATTTCCTATTTTGGTCGTCCCAAAATAGTTTTCAAATTTCTAATTTAGGTATGTAAACAAGAATAAAATGACAAATTTACCCTTACTTTACTTTTTCCCCATTAACTTAAAGGTAAGCATTTATCATAAACAAGGATAAAGTGACAAATCTACCGACGGACAAAAGTGTAAAAAGCAAGATAAAACTAAAGTGTAAACAAGGAGTATATCATATAAAACTAAAATATGAAGTGAAAAGTTTTGAGTTTAATGCTTCTAAGCAGATCGATTTTTTCGATAAAAAAAAAAGGCAGATGGATTTTAAAAACATTCAGAGTCGTTATGCATTATTAAATTTTCAAAAAAAGTTTTTTGAAAGATGTTGTGTTTTCGGATAGATGAAATCCGTGGAGTAGAATCGAAATAATTTTTTGAAAATAAATCTTAACTAATGTGAGAATAAACATATATCTGCTAGATTTCTAGGCTGTGGGATGCGTTCATTTACAAAGAAGTCCGAATGGTTTGTTTTAAGGACATTTAATCGGTGATATTGAGATGTGTAGTAGAGGGAGTGTATCCTTACCGTTTTTGATGAGATTAGAGCGGCAGACGAGGCTTACGATGCAGCGAGGCGGTTGATTACGGTGGCGTTGCAAAAGTTTGACCGGGCTGTGAGGTTTTAGATGTGGTTGGTTGGAGAGTTAGCCTGGCCGATTGATTTTGAACGGAAGAAATGGAGTGGTGGGGAGTTATGGCTGGCCGATTGGTTTGGGATGTAAAAAAGTGAGGTCATGTAGAAATGAAGGTTTGGCTCTGGAAAAGGGATTGTATGGAGTAATAAGGTGGGCTGTTGTGGTTGGGCTTCTTATTGAAATAATGGATAGGGCCGCAAATGGGTGAGTTAGTTTTATTTGTTCTAAATAAAAATTACTACTCCTCCCATTTTATGTGTCTGAGTTGATTTTGGCATAATATTTAATAAAGTGGTTGAAAAGGTAAAAGTTGTGGTTGAGATTTGAGTATAATAAAGTGAAATATTGTGAACCACAAATTTCTTTCCAAAAATGAAAATGTGACACTTATTTTGGTACAACCCAAAAAGGAAAGTAAGACAGGTAAACTGGGACGGAGGGAGTACATTTTCGCATTTGCCCTATACAGAGGATCTCTATTTCCTTGACGAGTCTCAATGTTGGCGAAGTAGCAAGAACGTATCTCTGTGCAAATAGTGTGTGTAAAGTAGACTCCACGACCGATCTTATGACAGAATTTCATACACCTGAATTCCTAAATAGCATAAAATTATCAGGAGTGTCCAAAATCACGTGTCCAGCTCCTCCTCGGTCCGATTTCTTTAAAAAAGATTTTGTGTTGTAGTTAGGGACAATGTACTAATATTGTGCACTTTCCAAATATAACTGGAGTGGTGGGAAACAAAGAGTGAATGCAAAGGAGTTTCTTGGTACTAGTTGGTTCGCTCACTCTTTACTATGGATATAATGTCATGGTCACTTGATGTAAAAATTGAACATAATTAGCTATATGACTAAAGTTACTACCGTAGTCACAATACTTAAGAGGTCACATTTTCATAAATAATCTTTATTTTAGTCGTAATTATGTAATTATTTCAACAACAAAAAATGCATAAATACCTTAATGTGTCCTCCGTGATGGTAGAGACCTATTTGAATATTTTCTCATAAATTTATATTTAAGCATAGTTTAAGAATGAAGTAACATAATTTCACATATTTGCACCCCCGGATTTGCATGTTTACATAGGCAATTCGTCTAACAAATGCAATTCCTATAAATGTAAAATCACCCTATTACTTAGTCATTATAAATAATTTACCTTCAACGTAACTAAATTATATAAACCATTGAATATGGAAAAAATCTTTGCTAAATTTTACTGGAGAAAAGGAATTTAACCGATTGAAAAATAACTCATACCTCACTTCAAAACACATTCAAGACTACATCTTTTTATTATTATTTATAATAATAAAATTATATGAAAATGTTCTTTGTTAAAAGTAATTCCATTAAAGTTTAAAATTTATAACTACCATAATTTTATTCTAATCAAAATCATGGTTCAAAATATTTTAAATTACAAAGATTTTTGGGACGGAGATGGTATTTTAAACTAACAAACTAGCTTTATTGCTAAACACGAAATTTACGATTACATGCATTGAAGTTTGTAATAATTAAAATAAGCAATTTTGAATTATACTTCTATTTATCAGTTAAAAATACGAGTTAACAAACGGAGGCAAAAAGAACTATTTGATGCATCAATGTGGCTAGATTAAATGTGTTTTTAAATTAATGTGCTTAAATACCATTATTTTTTAATATAGGGATTTAACTCACTTATTTAAAGTATTAATTCCTAGATTGTCCTTGCCTTTCAAATTTCAAAGGCGACAATATCGTGTTATGACTTCATACGCTATGACTATAAATAAAAGTCAAGGTCAATCTTTGTCCCGTGTTGGGTTGTTGTTGAAAAAACCGGTATTTACACACGGACAGTTGTATATTGCAGTATCAAGGGTTACCAATTGTCGTGGTTTGAAAATTCTAATTGTTAATGAAGATGAAGGAACCACTGACAAGACTCACAATGTTGTATACATAGAAGTGTTCAACGATGTTTAGGTTTACATGAAATGCATATTTACAATGTTATGGTTTCTAAGTATTTGTTGGATGTTTTTTATCTTTTAAGTACTCCCTCCGGTTCTCAAACAACTTCCCACTTTCCTTTTCGGGAAGTCCCAAAATTAACTTCACACTTCTTCTTATTTCTTTATTTGGCAAATTATCTACACCATAACAATGCAAAACAGTGTCAAACAGTGTCCAAACAGTGCCAAACAATGCACTCCATAGTAAAGTCAAATTTATTTTCTTAATCTGTGTGAAGTCAAACTGTGAAGCTCTTTGAGAACCGGATGGAGTAATGGTTAGTGCTCTCTTTTTAACCATAATATTATAAGTGTGTTTCATTCATTGTTTTGATCTATATTAGTATTCCATGGAGACAAATGATATCATTAATTGATAGTGTATTTGAATTAGTGAGTACAAATAAATTTGAAAGAAATTTTTTTCGACCGTGCATCGCACGGGTGAGTTTATTATGGTTTCTAAGTATTTGAAGGATAATTTGAAGGAGATTTTGAAGGATGATCCAAAAAAGGCTGATAGACATTGTTTTGGAAGATCTGGAGTGCGTTTAATTAATAAAAAATTATGAAATAAATAAATAAATACATCGCAGATATTAGATGAATTCATTTATCAAAATTGATTGTGTTGCATGTGTTGTTCCAGAGGTAATAGGTTGGGATGCACACTGTGGGCAGATCTGGCAGACCAAATTTGGAACTATTTGAATGAAGAGCACACTGAGGGGCCAGTTATTATTATTTTGGATATTTGCCAGACCAGAATGTTCAATGGTCTGTTTAATAATTTAGCTTTTGTAATTATAATACTATATTCGATGAATTCTGTTTTATTTAACATACTTTCCATAAATAAATATTTGTTTTAAAAATTTAAATATTTTTTTCTTTCTGGATAAATAAATTGTTGCTTTTATAGGAAAAGTAAGATTGTCCAATGCACATTTTAGAACAAAGTTGCATATAAACTCACCTCTCTCGGAAATTTCTGATTATAAAGAAAGGTATAAGTATAGTTTTTTTATTGCTTGATATGTTTTTATAAAAAAAAATTATGGTTGTACATATTATAGTTATCTTAATATAAGCTTAAAATATTCTTTATTTTACAAACAAAGGTAAAAAAGTGTAATTAATTTGTTGTCCTCTCATAATCGTTACTAAAGTTTACTGTTTGAGTTTGAATTAGTATAAAACATGCTTCAATTTTTTTAAAATTGATACTTTAAATTGAAATCGAAACAAACCTGTTTTAAAAGCTAACTTCCCCAATCTGCTTGACTTGATGTCTTCTTGCTTTGAGACATTGACGTCTACCTGCAATGAAGTGTAAATGAAATCTATGTGTCAATTGAATTAATGCTTTACATATTTAGTAAAAAGATACTGTTAAACTTTCAGTTTTACATTATTTCACACAAATTGCAGTCCTATGAAATCTATGTTGTGTCAATACCCAACATTTCAGTTTAAATTATTTCACAGTAGTTGCAGCCCTATTAACAGAACACTCATATCATGATTTAAGAATAATGAAACAAAGTTAAATTGCAGGTTTTACTCTCGAGGGAAAGCATTAAGTCAAGTTGTGAGCAACGTCTCTTCTCAAACTACACGCACATTTGAAGAAGACCTGCTACAGACCCCATGCATGACCATTTCAGATTTGATCGATTGCTCAGAGGTAATTACGTATATATGCATTCATTATGTTGAATTATCATTTTCTAAAATAGTTCAAATATTGCACAGAACTGCCAGACATTTGTTTTGGCAAGTGTGATTGAAGTTGGTGATAGTGATTGGTATTATCAGTCATGCATAACATGTTATAGAAAGTGTTACCCTTTGGGCAATAAGTTCTATTGTGAGGGTCCAAAGTGTGGGATGGAACGGTCTGCAATTCCTAGGTATGACACATTATGTAGTATAAGTGTGATTACACAAACCGCTTAAAGCAAACTTTGACAAGAAATTTAATTCAGATTTAAGGTTACACTCAAAGTTATGAATCAGACTGGATCCACTACATTTACTGTGTTTGATCGTGTGATGACAAGGCTTTTGGGAAGATCTGCAACTGACTTGCTTTCTAAAATGCAGAAGGTTAATACCTTTTGCCCGGGGATTAATTTGTGTAATGTTGTAACAATTTCATGACACTATTGAAACCCCAGACTCTAAAATTTGTGCATGTGCAGAATCATATCCGAGCTATTTTGCAGCAGAGGAATTTGACACTTTGACATGCAAAGATTTATTGTTCAAGGTAGAGAATAGCAATGACAATATTGGAAAGGGCCGGAGAAGCTATGAAATAAAAGAAATAATCAGTGAAGATGAAAAAAAATTGAGTGGAGGGATTTAGTCATGTTAAGCCATTTTAGGTATAGAAGGAACGGGAAGGATGTTAGAAGCAGTAGATTAGGTGCTTAAAATTTGCGGCCGTAAATGTGAGTTCGGGTGAGCGGGAATTTTTTACAATTATCTAATGCATGTCATTGTGATCATTTACAATTATCATTTACATTTACATACTTCTATACCATTTACAATTATCATTTACATTTTAAGATATTATTTATTTTGATCCTACTTGACCTTAAACAGTTACTTCTAATGAAATTTTTTGTGCATTTCGCAAGGTATTAAATGTAATATGTCAAGATTCATTTATAAGACTACTAAAAAATACCTCATTACCTTAAAAAACGATAAGACTTGAAAATAATGTATTAATTTGTAGTGTGTGTGTGCTTATTTAACATCTAATATTTGGTGTTACTTATTTATAATATCTTTCAATCGTGTGATAGAAATACAGGACTGACCAAAAAACCGAGAAACTGAAACCGACCGAAAAACTGACTGAAATCGAACCGATCAAAACTGAAATAGACTCAAACCGAAATCGACTAAACCCGATTAACCATTGGCAGTTTGTTTACGGTTTCATCTTTTGAGTTAAAAAATCGATCGAACCAAAATCGACAAACAAAAACCAACAAAAACATGCTAAATTGACACAAACCGACACAAGCAGTGCGGTTTGGTTTACGGTTTCACCTTTTCTAAAGCCGAGATCGATAAAACCGA